TCTCCAATCTGAATCCCAATTAAGACATTACACTACATGTGTTAATTAGTCTGCTCTCCTTTTTAAATCGAGCCATAACTCTTCCTAATTAGGAGGTCGGCCCTTGTAATTTGAACTGGCCTGGGCTGGAAGCACCCCTGGAAGTCACACCTGGGGGCTGGACCTGGGATCCTTTTAAATTGGTTGAGGTTTTACTTGGGTGATTATAAGGTCCCCGACAGGGCAGTAATTACAGAGGGTGCAGCTCCAAATTAAGATGTCAGGGCTGGTGTCAGCAGCAATGCTTTGGCTCTAAACTGAGCCCCAGGAGGCTGCGAGGATCTGCTGCTGGGAGTGTCCCATGAGGGCTCTCACAGATCACAGCAGCTTCAGCAGGACAAAAACCAGCTCCAGGAGCTGCCCCTGTGTACCCAGGGATGGTCACAGCTCCAGGAGCTGCCCCTGTGCATACCAGGGATGGTCACAGCTCCAGGAGCTGCCCCTGTGCACCCAGGGATGGTCACAGCGCCAGGAGCTGCCCCTGTGTACCCAGGGATGGTCACAGCTCCAGGAGCTGCCCCTGTGCACCCAGGGGTGATCACAGCTCCAGGAGCTGCCCCTGTGCATCCAGGGGTGATCACAGCCCCAGGAGCTGCCCCTGTGCACCCAGGGATGGTCACAGCTCCAGGAACTGCCCCTGTGTACCCAGGGATGGTCACAGCTCCAGGAACTGCCCCTGTGTACCCAGGGATGGTCACAGCTCCAGGAGCTGCCCCTGTGTACCCAGGGATGGTCACAGCTCCAGGAGCTGCCCCTGTGCATCCAGGGATGGTCACAGCTCCAGGAGCTGCCCCTGTGCACCCAGGGGTGATCACAGCCCCAGGAGCTGCCCCTGTGCACCCAGGGGTGATCACAGCTCCAGGAGCTGCCCCTGCCCATGCCAGGGATGGTCACAGCCCCAGGAGCTGCCCCTGTGCACCCAGGGATGGTCACAGCCCCAGGAGCTGCCCCTGTGCATCCAGGGGTAATCAGGGCTTATCCAGGGCAGTCCTGGAACAGGGCAGGTGTGACAGGGTGTGGAGCAGGTCAGCTGCTGTCCTGCTGGGACAGGTCACCTTCTCTGCTGGGATGGGTCACCTTTCCTACTGGGACAGGTGATCTTTCCTACTGGGACAGGTGCCCTGCTCTCCTCCTTGGACGGGTGACCCTCTCTCCTCCTTGGACAGGTGACCCTCTCTCCTCCTTGGTCGAAGCCTTGCAGGCTCCTCAGAGAGGCTCTGAGCTGCAGCCATGCTCTGTGCAGCACAGAGCAGCTCAAGATTGGAGAACAGAAGTTTGATTTTCACAGCACAAATTGATAGGATCAACTCTGTCTCGAGAGCTTATTAGTGAGGAGCTGAGCTGCTGGAGGAGTTCAACCCTGGTGCTTGCTCTCCCCAGGCTCCTGCAGATGAAGGCAGCTCTCAGCAGGCTGGGGAGGCTCAGGCAGGAGCAGGGCTTGAATTCCTTCTCATCAGATCCCCCAGGAGTGCTCAGAGCCAGCACTGGAGGTGCAGCAAGGGGCTGAGGGGACCTGGGTCCAGCCTGGCTGCAGCCCCGTGCCAAGGCAGGGCAATGGAGCACTTTGGGCTGGGACTGGTTTAATCCCAGGGGAGTCAGCTCTGGGATGGATGTTCAGGCTTGGTGCCATCTCTTGTACCTTCCCTGGCCAAGGAGAGCTCCTGTGACCACCCCAGGGGGAAGGAGATCACGGAATATCCTGAGCTGGATCCACAGCTATCATCCATCCAGCCCTGGCCCTGCCCAGATCCCCAAAATCCCACCCTGGGCATCCCTGGAGTGCTGTCCAAAGGCTCCTGGGGCTCTGGCAGCCTCAGGACCATGCCCATTCCCTGGAGAGCCTGGATTTTTAGCCCTGGATGTTTTTACCCCCCTCAGGGGGTGAGTAAAATCCACCTTTCCCAAAAATCCAACCCAAACCTGCCCTGGCCCAGCTCCAGCTGCTCCCTGTGTCCAAAATAACCCAGCAGCAAATCCACTCCCTCTCCACATTGCTGATACACACTGAATATTCCAGCAGAACTCCCTGTCCTGGTGTTGGTTTATATTCCCATTTTTTTCAGTTGAATGATAGGGATCCTTTTTGTAAATGGCTCTGGAATAAATCCTTCACAAATGATATTTTCCCCTGTAACACTGGTAAACTGCCTGAGGCAGTTATTGTTTATATTATTTATTTAATTACTATTTAGAACATAGATTAAATATTATTATTTATCATCTTAATATAATATTTATTCTTATTTATAATATTTCCGTATTATTTATAAATAATACATTATTATACATAATATATAAAATATACAATGTTATATAATTATATATTATATAATTATGTATTATAATATATATAATATAATATAATTATATAACTATTATTATTTATAATATATTTATATTATTTATAAATTATATTTATTAGTATTTATAATATTTAATTAATATTTATCCTGGAATATATTTAATATACCAGCTCCTACCAGCCAAATGTTGTCCCAGTTTTCCAGTGTTCATTCCATCAAAGGGTCACTTTTGGGTCATTACCAGAACCTGACCTTGCAGGTACCTTCAGCATTTTGCTGTTAACAAATCTCGAACTCCTAAACGTCCCCCAGGAACAGGAAATATCCAAACATCCTTGCCCCCTCTGCAGGTGCTGGATTTTAACAAATTAAGGGATTGTCAATGTTGTGCCTCTATTACCCCTTTAATGAAGCTCTTTGTGCCTTTCCCAGTGCCTTTCCCAAAGCTCCCAGAGCTCCCAGTGCCTCTCAAGGACCTGGGGCATCAGCTCCAGCCTGCTGCAGGTGTCACCTGTGCAGGTGTCACCTGTGCTGGGCTCACCTGTGCTGGGCTCACCTGCTCTGCCTCACCCATTTTGGGGTGGGTGGAGCTGGGGTTGCTGGTGACCTGCTGAGGAAGGGCTGTCCCCCACTGGCAGGGCTGGGAGGACCCTGGCACAGGGGAGGTGTCCCTGCCATGGCAGCAGGAGGAGTTTTGGATCATGTTTAAGGCTCTTTCCAAGCCAACCCATCCCATGGTTCTCTGAGGGGGCTGACACCAGTGAGGAGAGGGGCACAGCAGGTCCAGGTGAGCAGCAGAGTCCATGCAGGGATGTCCTGCTCTCCCCTTTGGGAAGGATGGAAGCTGGACAAGGAAGTCTCACAGATAGGTGTGCTTGGCAGAAAGATCTCTGGATGTAGAACCTGAGAGCAGAACAGAGGTAGAAGCAAGTTTTGATATAGAAGAACCAGACATGTCTGAAGTGCCAATTGCTGAGCCAGGACATTCACTGGACAATTAAGAAAGCAAAGGTTAAGTCAAGCTGGAAGGGGGTTTTATGACTAGAACAAAGGATTTGTTGACCACAAACCAAAAAATGCTTTTTCCAATCAGAAATAGGTCTTTAAAAAGCAGAAAGGTACCACTAGGCAAACTAGACATAGTGATGTGGCAAGTAGAAAAAAGTTCTAAGAATTTTCCACTGCAAGAAAACTGAAAAACAACTTTAAGCTTAAACTGTAACACAGTAACTCATATGATTGGAATATTGACCATAAAATGGTAATGATAGAAGTTATGATAGGCTCTAGGTAATAATAAAGGTATTGATTGGTTGCTATGTGTGAAGATGCTCAGCAAAGGAAAATATAAAATGCAGTGTAACCAGAACTAAAAGGTCTTCAGGCTTGCCTATGGCTGGAGCTGGCAGCTTTAGGAGTGGCTCTGTCACCCACGACCCAAGGCTGCTGTAACATCTCTACAATAAACCCATTTTGAAGAGCTGCCTGGAGTCCCACATCTCTGCCTCAGCCTCTGGCTGTCCCTGGGTGCTCTAACTGAGCCTTTCCCATGCAGAACCTGGCTCTGGCTGTCCCCTGTCCCTGCAATGCTCTAACTGAGCCTTTCCCTTGCAGAACCTGGCTCTGGCTGTCCCTGCAGTGCTCTAACTGAGCCTTTCCCTTGCAGAACCTGGCTCTGGCTGTCCCTGGAATGCTCTAACCCAGCCTTTCCCTTGCAGAACCTGGCTCTGGCTGTCCCTGCAATGCTCTAACCCAGCCTTTCCCTTGCAGAACCTGGCTCTGGCTGTCCCTACAGTGCTCTAACCCAGCCTTTCCCTTGCAGAACCTGGCTCTGGCTGTCCCTGCAATGCTCTAACCCAGCCTTTCCCTTGCAGAACCTGGCTCTGGCTGTCCCCTGTCCCTGGGGTGCTCTAACCCAGCCTTTCCCTTGCAGAACCTGGCTCTGGCTGTCCCCTGTCCCTGCAATGCTCTAACTGAGCCTTTCCCTTGCAGAACCTGGCTCTGGCTGTCCCCTGTCCCTGCAATGCTCTAACTGAGCCTTTCCCTTGCAGAACCTGGCTCTGGCTGTCCCCTGTCCCTGGAATGCTCTAACTGAGCCTTTCCCTTGCAGAACCTGGCTCTGGCTGTCCCTACAGTGCTCTAACCCAGCCTTTCCCTTGCAGAACCTGGCTCTGGCTGTCCCCTGTCCCTGGAATGCTCTAACTGTGCCTCTCCCTTGCAGAACCTGGCTCTGGCTGTCCCTGGGGTGCTCTAACTGAGCCTTTCCCTTGCAGAACCTGGCTCTGGCTGTCCCCTGTCCCTGCAATGCTCTAACTGAGCCTTTCCCTTGCAGAATCTGGCTCTGGCTGTCCCTGCAGTGCTCTAACCCAGCCTTTCCCATGCAGAACCTGGCTCTGGCTGTCCCCTGTCCCTGCAATGCTCTAATTGAGCCTTTCCCTTGCAGAACCTGGCTCTGGCTGTCCCTGGGGTGCTCTAACTGAGCCTTTCCTTTGCAGAACCTGGCTCTGGCTGTCCCTGCAATGCTCTAACTGAGCCTTTCCCTTGCAGAACCTGGCTCTGGCTGTCCCTGCAATGCTCTAACTGAGCCTTTCCCTTGCAGAACCTGGCTCTGGCTGTCCCCTGTCCCTGCAATGCTCTAACTGAGCCTCTCCCTTGCAGGACGTGGCTGCTGAGGTGCCGGCCCCGGATGCTGCTCCCGGTGCAGAGCCTCGTGTGCCTGGCTGCCTTTGGGCTGGCCCTGCCCCTGGCCATCAGCCTCTTCCCGCAGATGTCCGAGGTCAGTGGGGTCTGGGGCTCTCAGGGGGTGACAAACCACGGCCTCTTTGCCTTCCTGGGGGATCCCCACTCCTGTGGGCCCTCCATTCCTGGGGGAGCTCCTTCTGCCCCTGCACTGGGCACACCTGGAGTGCTGTGCCCAGCCCTGGCCCCTCAGGTTGGGAAGGATTTTGGGATGTTTGAGCCCATCCAGAGGGGGCTGGAGAGGAGCTGGGAACACAAACCCTGAGAGGAGCCCCTGAGGGAGCTGGGGGTGCTCAGCCTGGAGCAAAGGAGACTCAGGGGTGCCCCCATCACTCTGCACAGCTCCTGAAAGGGGCCTGGGCTCAGCTGGGGCTGGGCTCTGTCTGCAGGAACTGACACAACCAGAGGGCACAGCCTCGAGCTGTGCCAAGGGAAATCCAGGCTGGATAGCAGGGAAAGGTGTTTACAGAAAGGTGATAAATTTCTGGAATGGCTGCCCAGGGAGGTGGTGGAGTCCCCATGCCTGGGTGTGTTTGACAGTCCTGGATGTGGCACTGGGGGCCAGGGTTTGGCTGAGGGGTTGGGGCTGGGTTGGACTCCGTGGTCTTGAAGGTCCCTTCCAACCCAGGGGTTCTGTGTGTTCTGTGTAGAATTCTGTGTAAAATTCTGTGAATATTCCTCTCCTCAACAGCACAGCTTCACCAGGCAGGGGAAGGCCCCTCTCCCTCACACTGGGCTTTCCTTGGAGTTAAAATATTGAATCCAAGCCTTGTCCATGAGGCCAAGAGCCTGGACCACCCCTTGGAGGGGGAACTTCTTCCCCAGAGCTTCTCTGAGGGCTTTTTGCTTTTTCATCTCCTGGGAAGGCCCAGCCTGGGGGTGAACAAAGGAAAACCAGCCAAGGAAACAGGGAATGACCAATGCAATCACTCAGAGCAATTTAGCTGATCAAATTGCTCGGGTGGGTTTATTTTAAGTCTTTAATTTTGGTGATTGGAGCTTTTGCTGGTTGTAAATCTGTGCATTTCCAGAGTGGGTCTCTATTCCTAAGGGAGAAACACAAGGGCTCTCTCACAAGGTTCTTTTCCTGTCAGCTGGATCAGGAGTTTCTATCACTGTCTGCACATGAATTCATATTTTTTTTCAGTCTGGATGGGTTTATCCATGACTTCCAGCCAGGGAATCTTGCTGTACACTTGTGTGCTGACTGACAAACACGTTGGGAATTCTCTGTTGTCCTTCTTGCTGTCTCCAGGCTGAGAGAAAACTGTCCCTTCTCTCTAAGAACCTGAATTTATCTCAGTCTTGGAGCCTCTTGCTAAAAGACGTGTTTGCTGAAGCTTTAATGATTCATATGGCTCTTCCTTAAACTTTTTCTAATTAGTCAACATCGTTTTTGGAGCCCTTCCATCAGGAGCAGACACAGCATTGCAGTCAGAAGCTGCACAAGCCCCAGTTGCAGGAGCAATGTGATTTCCCTGCCTCTCCTGGGCTCTGTGCACCCCCAGAGCCTGGCAGTGCTTTTGGCAGGAGCTCAGGCTCAGCTCCAGGCCCTCAGCTCTGCGCTGATCCCCAGTTCTGCTCCCAGGCTGGGCTTGGCAAGGCTGAGCAGCACTGCCAGGTCTCACACCTGCTCAAGGTGGAGCTGGAGCAGGTCCAGCCTGCCCGTGGGAAGGAGGCTGGGGCACACAGCATCCCTTCTGCTCCTTTCCCAGGGAATCTGAGCGGTTTTAAGGCTGGAAAAGCCCTCTGAGATCAGCGAGTCCAACTGTTCCCCCAGCACTGCCAGGGCCACCACTGACCCTGTCCCCAGGTGTCACAGGGCTGTGAAATCCCTGCAGGGATGGGGACCTGCCCTGGGGGTGCCTGACCACCCTTTCCAGGAAGAATTCCTTCCTCATATCCAGTTTAAGCTTTCCCTGGGGCAGTTTTCCTGGAAATTTCCAGGAAAAAGTCTTTCAGGATAATCAGGGCAGCAAGGCCACAGCAGGTACCACCAACCTCATTTATCCCAAAGGAGACATTGCCACTGTACCTCTAAAATCCTAGAATTCTAAAATGGTTTTGCTTGGAAGGACCTCAAGGACCCTCTTGCTTCCTGCCATGACCAGGGACACCTCCCACTGGAATTGTGGCTTTCTGGGTGACAGAATCACAGAATCACAGAATAACGAGGCTGAAGAGACCTCTATGGTCATTGAGTCCAACCTGTGCCCTAACACCTCAACCAGACTATAGCACCAAGTGCCATGTCCTGTCTTTTTTGGTGGTGGTGATTCCACCACCAGCCTGGGAAGAGCATCCCAGTGCTTTGTTATTCTTTTGGTGCAAAATTTATTCCTAAAAATAACACATACTTCACATAACTTCTCCTGATGCGCAATACCTGATGCTCCAGCAGGGAAAATCTCATTGATTTTAGGAGCTGAATGAATTCTAACCCAGAGGGAAAATTCAGGAGTGGTTTGGCTCTGGGGACACTGGGATTGCAAGCACCAGTGACAGCGCTGTGGGGAGTGACCTCGTGCAGGCAGCTGAGCTGTTCTGAGCGGAGCAAACATGAATCAGCCCTGCCTGACAGGATGATGTGTGCTGCCCACACTCCCTGCCAGGGAAGAGGAGCCCTCCAGAGCCTGCCTGGGCTCTGCCTGCTGCCACCCAGCTCTGCTCCAGGGGATGAGAGCCCTGCACAGCTGCATCCCACATCTGCTCACACCATGGGCTCAGGGGCTCCAGGGGCAGCCAGGGCTGATCAGGCACACAATCCTGGGATGGTTTGGATCAGGAGCGATCCTAAATCCTATCCAGTGCCACCCCATGGCAGGGACACCTCCCACTGTCCCAGGTGCTCCAGCCCCAGTGTCCAGCCTGGCCTTGGGCACTGCCAGGGCTCCAGGGGCAGCCAAGACTGATCAGGCACACAATCCTGGGACGGTTTGGATCAGGAGGGATCCTAAATCCCATCCAGTGCCACCCCTGCCATGGCAGGGACACCTTCCACTATCCCAGGTGGATCCAAGCCCCAGTGTCCAGCCTGGCCTTGGGCACTGCCAGGGATCCAGGGGCAGCCCCAGCTGCTCTGGGAATTCCAGCCCAGGCAGGAATTCCTTGCCAAGATCCCAGCCCAATCTCCCCTTTCCCAGTGGGAGCCATTCCCTGGCTCCTGTCCCTGCAGGCCTTGTCCCCAGCCCCTCTGCAGCTCTCCTGGAGCCCCTGCAGGGACATTTAGGATTCCCTGGAGTTTTCCCTTCTCCAGGGGAATATTCCCAGCTCTCCCAGCCTATTTTCCCATTATGTTTGCATTTTCTATAAATGTGTGAGTGTTTACAAAGGACATTCCCCCCATTCTCCAGAATCTCTTTGGAGGTTTCTGTGGGGATACTCAAGGGAGCAAAGTGAGAGTTTTACCTGGACCAACCCCTCTGGATCCATTTCTGGATGAGAAATCCAAGTCTCCTTGCACGGAGCGTTTCTCAGAACCTGTGAATTTTTGGGCACTCATCAGCAGACCCTGAACTTCAGTGGTTGGGCTTGATGTCCTTGGAGCCTTTTCCAACCTGAATGATTCCATGATTCTATCCTGTTGAGGATGAGGAATTCAGAGGTGTTTTACCACTGATCTCTGTGGGAATGACTTTGCTTTTCCCATGGCCTGGGTGATGGGCACAGTGGGACCAGGCTGTTGTACCAGATCAGCAACAAGGGGTAAGAGATGTGCTCTGTTCCAAAAACAGGGCTGTGGTGTGAGCAGCAGGAATTGTGAGTGAGCCAAGTTCTGCCCTTGCTCACACTCAGAACCTTTTGGAAGTCAGGGAGCAGACACAGAGGCTGATGTGTCATGGAGAGCTTGTTTTGGGCCAGGAGTTGGCGTGGCCACCTTTGATCCTCTCTCCTAACGGGGCTCAAGCTCACAATTGGTTTTCCAGCAGAACTGAAGCCTTGCAATAGGTTTAATGAATTTGCTGGGTAAATGCAGCCACCTTGTCCCATCAAGCTGTAGCTGCTCCAGAGTTAATCCTGTGTTACAACAATTCCAGTGAAATCAGGCTCAGCTGTGGCTGAAAACAGGGAAAGGGAATTCTGGAGGTGAGCAGCCTCCACGTGCTGGGAAGGTTAATACACCCTGAGCCTTTTTTGGGTCCATACCCAGCCTAGCCAAGCCCTGGGTTTGGTAGGGATGAAATTCCACTTGGATTTCTGCAGCGGTGCTCCAGAATCACAGCTTGTTTCTGGATATTATGGCTCTAAAGAGAACATTATAAAAATAAACCCCTCGTTCCAGCCACGAAACCATGGATCCTTGGGAATACTCACGCTGGAGCTGCTGAGAAACGTTCTTGTCATCCCAGGATAGTGTTAACTGTGGTACCTAAAGCCATCAATATGCATTGAGTAATTCACTGCTGTTAAGTTTGGGAGAAACATGTAGTTAATGCATTTAGCCCACAACCTCCAACTGCCTCCCATGCCCCCCGGGGAATCTCTTCCCTCTCCCAATCCCGCAGCATCCCCACTGACAACTCCTACTCAGCTATGCACTGCCAATGGAAACAGCTGTGACAGCTCCAAACCGAAAATGGGGCTTGTGCAAATGAAATTCAGTGTAGCAGCAGAAGAAAGAACCACGGGGTTGCTTCCCTGCCCCGTGGGCCCTGCTCCTCCAGAGCGTTCCTCCAGCAGATCCACCAGGAGCTCCTGTCACCCCCTGCCCGCGGCGATCCTGGGGACAGAGGTGGACAGGCCCAGGTGAGAAAGGGAGAAATGGAGCTGGAGAATGGCAGAGCAGCCTTCAACCACCTGAGCCCCTCACCTGGGGGAAGTTTAAAGGGTATTTTTAGGGTGATGCTCAATGCAAACCGAGGTGTCTTCCAGAACGAGGCTGATTTCAGCCTTTCCTTAAAAATAATCTTCCTTTTGGATCTCCAGGACAAGGGGAATAAACAGCCTAAAATCCAAGGCTGAGCTATTGTTTTCCAATCTGTTTTAGCCTTCATCTTGTTGGCAGGCTGCTTTAGAAAAGCAAAAGGTTAATGAGCC